GGGCGGCGGGAGCCGGCGCCGGGGGAGCGTCCCGTGCGGGGCAGGCCGCCCGCAGGCGGGCTCAGCGGGAAACCGCTCGCGGCGAAACACGGGGTGGGGGTTGTGAAAATCCCCCACCGGGAAACGGTGATGTTTTCTTGGAGCGATAAACGCCCGCTCCCGCCCCCGGCGGAGAGGCCCGGGTGGCGCAGAGCCGGCTGCCCCGCACCGGGGCCGCGCTCGGGGACCGGCCTGGGCCCGTGTCTGGCCCCGCAGCCGCCGCTCGCTGGAGGAGGCGCAGGAGCGTTTCTGTCGGTGGGATTTCATTAAAGCTTCACTGAACCCCCCCGGAGCGCCCCGGGTGTCGCCCCCGGAGGAGCCCCGCAGGATCCCGCAGCAGCCGCGGCCCCGGGGGGGAGGGTGGTCGGTCCGAGCGGCCCCGCGAACACGGAGCCACAGGGGCCCTTCCAGGGAGCTTGGCAAAGTCGACTTATAAATTAGTGTGAAACCTCATTTTTGCCTGTCGTGCAAAAAAACCCCTTGCTCTGACACTGAGCAGCTTTTCTTCAGGAGCACCGCACGCAGCGGGATGGAGCTGGGCAAGTGGCCCATGAGGGAGCCACATCCAGGGTCCGTCCCTCCTCCGAGCACTCAGGTGACAGTGACAACGCAAAAATCCCTGTTTTCAGAAGCTTGTTAGCTGTCAGCAGACTCCTAGACTAGGAAGAAGAATTTTAAACCACAAATCCTTTGAGGAGTTTATCTGAGTGGAACTGGATAATAATACAGAAGAGCTTTCTGGAAAGGGCTTTGTGATACTGCTGCTCTCAGCCACCATGTCTGCTTCTGTTGAAATAGCCTAGCAGAATGGATGAGGCACTCAAGTTTATGCAATAATGTTAATACCTGTTTTCATCGGTGTCATTTTTTTCACATCTTCCTGTTATATCTTCTGGCTGTTTCCATTTTTTGCACATCTCAAGTTATGAATCTCACTAAACTGAATACACTTTCATAAGCTTATCAAACTGTCTTATACCCTCAGATTCCAGATCCTTTCATGCTCTTAAAACTCCAATTTTCCCCTGTATTTGGCTTGAATCATCCAATAAAGTTCATTCTTGACTTTGTAGTTATTATGTATTGAAGATGATTACGTAAGTTTTAATACGTGTTAGATATTGACCTGTATTGATATACAGAAACTTAGGATATAAGTAAAGCCAGAGAGACGTCCCCTCCCCCCCAGATTTTTGGGGAGGCCATGAGACAGTGCGGTTAACTCAGCCACATCTCAGCTCTATGTTATCCCCCAGCCCTGTGTTTTCCTTTTCTTTTGCACAGAAGTAACAAGTTTGAGTCCCCTGACTGGATCCGGTGTCTCGACTGTGAAACCCTCACACTTCCTGTGCTAGGTTTCACCTGAGTGTAAAACAGGTAAGATGGTATTTCCCATGATCATGGGTCCATTGTGCTGCTTTCTTCATGTCTGGAAATTGCTTTGAGATAAAATGAGTGTTAGGATAAAAGGAAGCAAGTTTGTCTTTTGAGGTAGTGGATTTTTTGTGCTACAGTGAAAATGGCATTACAGAAAGGGAAATTCTGCTGACCTGTCAAGAAGATGAGGAGCAGCAGTAGATAAAATCCTAATTTCTGTCGGAGTGGCTTAACACAGAGTACTGCTACAGCAGCAAGTGCAGTTGAGAGAGGTACAGCTCCATAACATGCCTTGTAATAGAAGTGCCTGTAGCATTCTTTTAAAGCAACTACAGTGCACTTCTGATTCCAGGCAAATTTTGATTATGATATGATGTGCTGTAAAGCGGCTACATTCTGCTGGGGTTCATTGCCAAGCAGTTCACAACTACACTGACCATGAACTGGGGGGGGAAAAATTGTTGTGCTAGTAAGAGCAGGGTTTTTTTTGCGTTTCGCTCTCTTTAACAGTGCTGAAAATGACTGGGGACATTAGTATTCCGATGAAGAGAGGCTGTGACAAAGACCGTGACTGCGGGGCCTCCTGACTCCTCTGTGATGCTGGCAGTGATGTAGAGGGGACTGACTCCAATTGCACCGTGTTGGGAATGGCCCTGCCATGGTACGGGGAAAACAAACAGGCACATTCACGGGGGGGCAGAATGTCTGTGTCTCTGCAGCGTGAGCTCTGCGCTCTGTAAGGGAGAATGATCACAGGTGAGCAAACACTTATCTTCCTGCAGGGACTGCAGACACTTGTGTGCCAGTTTGCGTGTGTGTGTGTGTGTTTGTTTACAAAAGGACAAGTTGTACACAAAGGTGATCCTATCTTTCTGTCCACATGTGTTTCCCGGCAGGATTTGGGAACCTCATGCAGGATGTGCTGTGGTGCTTCAGTCAAGTGAAAGGAACTATAGATATTGGGGTGACAGAAGGTAAGTTTATTTTTCCTTTTGTTGCTGTGATCGAAAAGAACTTGTTTGTCCTGTACATCTTGCCATATTGGTGAGCAGGGGATTGTTTCATGTTGTCAGAAACTACTGGCAAAGAGCGGAGTTAGACTCTCTTCCTTTTTGCCTTCATTAAGTACTTATGCATTTGAAAGAGATGGGTCTCTAAAATTAGCTATTGATCCACAAAATTCAGTTGAAGGCATTATGGCTTAATCATATGATTAGTCTATGGAATAGATTTCCTTTTGGTTTTCAGATGTTATTTACGGTATTTTTCAGGGAATTATGAGACAGCCTCTCCCACTAAAACTTCCTTTACTGGAATTGGTTGGATTCTGGGTAATATATTGTTTCTGGGTAATATAACTATAACTTGGAGCTCCTTCTTGAATCTGGAGTTAAAATAAATTGCAGTGCCTACACTTTACAGATATGTATCTATGGGGGAGGGATTCATGCAGGCAGTTGGGGGATTTAGGAGCGCAAAAGATCCCCTTTCACACTCGGTGCTTTCAGGGTGATTTGTGCTCCTCAGTCCTTAGGCACGTCTCTCTCTGCAAGCACATCTGTCTGGCATTTAGCCAATATGTGGACTGCAAAAACATGGACAATTGAAAAGAAATAACTGCATTTCATTTTCCTGACTTTAAAGTTGGATTTATTCATTCAGTTCTGTTTCGCCAATGCTTGGTTGGTTTAAACTTCTTACTGGGCATTTCCCTACATCTTCTTATTCTCATTTCACACTTCATCTTCCTTTCTCTTATTGCATTGCCCAGTAATCCATTAATTCCTCTCCCTTTCCATTTCACAGTTTATTCACTATGTGTTTTTTATCCCTCCACAATAACTGAGACCTTTCTCATGTCCGTCTTCTCTTAACCCTCCCAGTGCAGGCAGCGGTTTGTGCCGTAGGGAGGCCCAGCAAACAGCAGTGAAATCCTGTCTTCCCATGTGCTAGAGCAGTTGGTGTGTGTCACTGCAGTGACCCTGACGTTTGCCTGTCGATGCCTGTCGTGTTTGGTTTGGCACAGCAGAGTTCCCGGGGGTCGCCCCGCAGCCTGGCCCCGCGATGGACGCCCCGCTCTCTGGAACAGGGACAGCGCTGGGGGTGCTGCCCATCAAGGCTTCATTGCCCTGGCAGGACTGTGCCCATGTTTTCTGCCTGAACCAGAGCGCAGACACTACTAGTGTTTCCTGTTTCATCCCCCCACCTCAGTGGCTTTGGACACAGGAGCAGTGCTGGGGAGAGGGCTCGCCAACGCGTGCAGCAGTGCCCGGGGAAGGGCTGCTCAAAGTGCAGCTCCTCACAGCTCCTTCTGTGGATGCTACGATAATAAATGCAGGAACTGAGTTGGCCTATTAGATACGTTTCTTCTATTTTGTTGTATTTCCTGAAGTGTGGTGCTTTCCAGAAAAGCAGAGTCTGGTGAGAGTGAGGTCTGGGTGACAGAGCACCGTCACCCGGTTGGCCTCAGTGGCACTGCTCTGTGACCTGCTCCTGCAGAGAGGGTCTCGTTCAGTCTGTAACCTCCTGAGACTGCCGTGGGGCACAAAACTCAGGAGAATGAATTACGTCTCATAAATGGGCCTATATCACAGACACCTCCCCTTCACAAGAAGTTTATCCATAGCTTCTTAGTTTTATGCTGGTCTTTGTGGCACGTTTCTGACAACTCTTGGTAACATCCAAGCATCCCGAGTTCACAAAATGTAATTTCATTAGTTACTGGAATCCATGCAGTTGTGTATGGTCAGTTGAACAGAGGTGTTAGTATCAGGTTAACAATGTTCTGCATCTGTAAATGTGGAAGAGCTCCGAGTGAATGAGCTCTCTTAGGCATGGATGGGGGGCCTGAGACATCTCTCAGCTGCTCAAACACACCCCCATTTCAATGTTAATATGAAGTAAATGATGTTGCTGATTGCTGTTGTAGTGCCACAGTGCTTTGAACTATATTTCATTACTAGTAACAGGAAAGAAGTTTTAGAGATCTTGCTGTATTTTGATATATTGATAATTAGCAGTCTGGTGTAGAAATCAGATTTGTGCTAGTTCAAGAGGTGGAATTCCCTCTTGAGCCTCAAATCCAGAGTCTAGACCTGCCGTGGTGGTGGGAAGCTGCTCGGCGGTGGCTGAGGGCACATCCCCAGGGAGGGTCAGGCAGTGGCTGCCGAGGTTCGGAGGGGACAAGTGGCCCTATGAGGTTTGGGGTGGCTGTGGGCTCCAGACAGGGGATCCAGGCACTCAGCATTCAAATCTTTGTTGTATTAAATTAGGTGTAAAGCATACATGTAATAAAGTTATAAAATGGAGGAGTATCATGTAAATATTAATGGCTAAATCAAAATGGTCCTAATGTTCTGCCTGGTGCCTGGAATGTTTTGCAATTGGAACATCAGGAGATCCCAGCGAGCTGCACAACCAGCAGCCACTTCCAGTGCTGTGCTCTGTTGGGAAAGCAGTAACTGTGCTGCTGTGATCGTTAGAGAGATGTAATTGCAGTTTTCATGCCTGTGATGTGGTTTAATTATGCATACCATGCCTAACTTCTCTCTGTAATTTCCACTGGAGATGAGATCCATCCCTTTCTCAGCTAAATCTGCAGGTAGTTTCTGGTGAAGTGAAACAGCAGTGTTTGCTTCAGAGTCATCTGCGTTTCCAGGGGAGGACATGGAGAGTCTCAGTGGGTGAGTCACACACCAACACATAAAGTGACTCGCCATGAAAACTGCATTATAAAATACTGTCTCTTTATTTCCTGTCTTGTTTCCTGGGGTGGACCTGAGATACACAATAGTATTTCATCTTCAGCCTTCTCTTCTGCGTGATGCAATCGGAGCGAGCTGTCATCTCTGGGCAGGGAGGCTTTGCGTTGCCTGCAGCCCAGACTTGGATTTTAGTTTTTTTTTCCACATCCAGAGAGGGTATTTTGAATAAAGAGAAAGGTAGGAAGGTGAAATGAAAAGCTGCTCTCTTGGCTGGCACAGGTGCTTTGCATCTCTCTGGTGTAAAGGCAGCCGTGCAGTCATCCTCTGTGACAGCACAATTAGCGAGACCGCAGCCAGATGATGGAACCAAACGGCAAAACGACCCCGCGCTCCCCGCGCTCCCCCGGCAGCGGGCGGGATCGGGGAGCGATCTGTCCTTCACCAAAAACTCGTCTGTGGAGTCATTAATCAGCGGGAGAACCGGGGGTGTGAGCAGCAGCAGCTCGTCACCTTGCTTCCTTCCGACCTGCCCCCCGGGTGCCGTGGGGGTCCCGTCCCCGGGGGGGCTGTGCGGGGCTGGGGAGCCCCCGCCGTCGGGTTCCTGCCCGGGGGAGCGGGTTGCGGGGGGAAAGGCGTTACATCGAGCCACGGCTGTTCCCGGTCCCCCCGCCGGTTCCGCGGGGTGCCGGGGGTGCCTCGGAGGAGCCCGTCCCTCGGCAGAGCGCGTTGTCAGGCTGCGGCTCGGTTTGCGGGCTGGGGGTGCCTTTGGGTCGCGCCGGCGCTGCGGGGCCGGTGCTGCGGGGCCAGCGCTGCTCCGCGGGACGGGGTCCCGGTGCAGAGACCCCCACCCTGGGCTGGGGTGTTCCACCGGGAAAGCCCGGGGTCTCCCGACATAGACCCCGGCG